GGCATTAGCTAGGTACCAATACTGTACCTCTAATGCTGTGTGTCTGACTCGTGGCTGCTGTTTCAGCCCTGAGAACTGTTAGATTCATGAACCCCCTGAGAATAATTTAAGCAATAAACTTTCTCAGCTGAAACTGATGATGGACCATGCACACTCTCCATCACCTCTATTCATAAAAAAAAATCTTGTATTCAAAGAATATACAGGTAAAACTCGAAAAATTAGAATATCGTGCAAAAGTTCATTTATTTCAGTAATGCAACTTAAAAGGTGAAACTAATATATGAGAGACTCATTACCTGCAAAGCAAGATAGTTCAAGCCGTGATTTGTCACAATTGTGATGATTATGGCTTACAGCTCATGAAAACCCCAAATCCACAATCTCAGAAAATTAGAATATTGTGAAAAGGTGCAATATTCTAGGCTCAAAGTGTCCCACTCTAATCAGCTAATTAAGCCATAACACCTGCAAAGGGTTCCTGAGCCTTTAAATCAGTGGTTCTCAACCTGGGGGTCGCGACCCCTTTGGGGGTCGAACGACCCTTTCACAGGGGTCCCCTAAGACCATCAGAAAACACATATTTCCGATGTGTAAAGAGCAGCTACTGTGTAGTAGAAGCAGCTGCTGTGTTGAAAGCAGCTACTCTGTTAAAAGCAGCTACTGTGTTGAAAGCAGCAGTATTGGAGGTAAAACGACACTCATGAATTATAATTACTGGGTAAATAATTTTATGGTTGGGGGTCACCACAACATGAGGAACTGTATTAAAGGGTCACGGCATTAGGAAGGTTGAGAACCACTGCTTTAAATGGTCTCTCTGTCTGGTTCAGTAGGAATCGCAATCATGGGAAAGACTGCTGACCTGACAGTTGTGCAGAAAAAAACATCATTGACACCCTCCATACGGAGGGAAAAGAAGTTGGATGTTCCCAAAGTGCTGTATCAAAGCACATTAATAGAAAGTTATATGGAAGGGTATGTGTAAATCTAAGAGTTTTCAGGAATGAAGCCGCAACCACAGGTGAGACATACGTGATTAGGGTTACGTTATTTGTAGGTATCTAATGCTCCAATATAGTTTTTGCCAAGATTTCAGCTTTAAACTTGATGTGATTGCTTCAATAAATGTTTGGAATTTTAATAGGATCCTTGGTGTGCTGGAGACATATGCATCCCTTGTACATTGATCACTGGAATATCAGCTTCTCATTACTGCAACACCCCTATGCCCCAGGCTTTATTTGGGAAGGAGATGAAAATGGGGTGGGAATATGTTCATTATCTCTGGGCCTTAGCAGGAAGTAGATGGTGACCCTGGATACTGCCTGCACAAAGATGGCTCCATTCTTTTGGAGAGAAAAGCAGAGGAAGGCATTGCCAGGGGGAGTACTGTGATCTCCATGAGGGGTAACAGAGACCTTTGAGTTTTACACATTACTTAGCATTCATGACATATAAAATATATCTGATGCTAGGTCCACTTTAAAAAGCACAGGGATGATTCTGCCATCGATATCCGCCCATATCTGAAATGTCAACTTGGATTATAGCTGCCCTCTAAATCTTGTATTTTAGCTTTAGCCCAGCAGAGATCACACTCATTCCTTAAAGAGATGAACTGGATGCTTACCATTGATGAGTAATTCATGTAGACACATGCAAACCACATTTATTGGCAGTTCAGCTGAAAGACAGTTCAAGTGGTTTGATGAAAAAAAAAAAAAAGGAAAACCTCTTTAAGCAAAGGCCCATAGGGACACAGAAACGTTATCCCAACATTTTTCATGTTTCAGATTCTTGTGTGTCAACACTCTATGCTTTCTTGTGATAGCACTTTCTTTTCTGTAAAATATACATTCCACTTTAGAATGTATAATGAGGGTCTGGGCTTGTTTCTAATCCACTAGTGAAATTATCTGAAAATTATTATTGGCCATTTTTTTTATTGGCTCCAGTGACAACTGATTATATTTCTATAGGTGGCACACGAGTATGCATGAGGTATAAGGACAGAGGTGCTGTAAAAAATGCCCAGCTCTGTGCAAGCGGAGGCAGTGACATCTTCATGTTTCTGTGGTGTATATGTATAAAGTGGACCTGTCCCCACAAGAGATGAGTAGAAGCAAGCTGCTAAACATAAATCAGGCACCGCAGAGGGGTTGATTTACTAAAGGCAAATAGACTGTGCATTTTGCAAGTGCAGTTGCACCAAAGCTTAGCAAATTAGGTAAAGCTTAACTTTATAAAGAATACCCAATCACATGCAAGGAAAATAAAAAACAGCATTTTTGCTTGCACATGATTGGACGATGGAAGTCAGCAGAGCTTCCTCTCATTTACTAAGCTCTGGGACAACTGCACTTGCAAAGTGCACAGACTACGGAGCAATTACTAAAACTGGTGCACACAGAATCTGGTGCAACTGTGCATAATAACCAGTCAGCTTCTACGTTTTATTGTCAAAGCTTAATTGAGCAAGCTGAAGTTAGAAGCAGATTCTGTGTGCACCAGTTTTAGTAAATCCTCCCCTATTTGTCTTTAGTAAATCAATTACTATGTGTTCATTGACAATGCCTATTGTAAGGGTTTGTTCACATCAGGTGCATTCAGCTGTATTGATCAGCACAACGCAATTGTTTTCTATGTACCCTGTTCATGCCATGCAGGTCAGCTGCTGTGCTTAGTGGAAAGATGCAGCATGCATTACAATGCATTGTACCATATCAGAATTCGCTGTTGTGCACGGAGTTGAATATAATGTCATTTTGTGATATTTCAACAAAAATGACAAAAAAAAGTAAACAGTTGTAACAACACATTGTATCACTCCTACGCAATGCACACCAGTATTCGTGCATAATGCAGAGCACAGCATGTGAACAAACCCTAATTCTGTTGCTTCTGAGCACCCCAGGGGTGCTGATGCATGCAGATTTTGACTTTCTGAAAGCGTGTAGCTACAACCCACCCAAACGCAACCCATAATGTAATGTGTTGACTTCGGAACCTATAGAGAGGCACCCACAATGCACCGTGGAATGTACTGAATGCGGTCCCATAAGGTTGGGAAAGATAAGAATATTTGCCCAGTTTTTATTGCTGTGTCTATTCTCCATTGGGGAGATTCTTCTCACATCTTGGGGCCACAATATGAATCTAACACAACCAAATATACATTTAACCCTGCATATGCTCCAGCACAGAGATTTAGAAAATGTGCCTCTAAACTTGCTAGGGAATTTAGACTCTAGAAAGTATCATTTCCCTAGCACAACTCCTACCCTCCTTGTATGTCATAGCCCTCTCCTTTTCTGGGAGTGTCTAACTACTGTCTATGCTGGCCCAGCTTCACTGCCCTGCCTTTACCTCCCTACATAACCTTTTATGTAGCTTCAGGGGGAGGAGCAAAGAGGAATACTGTAAAGTGTCATTTGAGTGACAGCTTTGTGTCTGCTGACATCATATTCTAGATGGTGGCCCCAAGCAGCAGTCTCGGGGCTTTTGGATGCCTACACAAGAAAAGCATTTACAGGTATATTACATGCATATATTATGTTATGGGAAGACTACTGATGAAATGAACTGACTGACAACAGGGTCTGGACCCCCATCCCTAACTGAAGAAGAGACCATAGGAGAGTTGGGAGAGGTGGGAGAGTTGGCGAAGGTGAGGATCAGTGACTGGGAATTGGGTGGGCTTAGGTGCCTGTTAGTTTGTCTTGAAGGGGAAACATGGCACAGTCTCTTTCATTTCACAGTTGCTGTTGGTTACTACATTTTATACATCATCTTTGCACTCTCTGCTGTATAATTCCAAGTCGAAAACTCAAAGTGGTGGAGTGATCGCCTGGCGGGAGTTTCTGAAAGATAAAAGACACCAGCAGGCAATTCAGCCTCACAACATATGCACAACTATAAAAGACATTTTGGATGGACTGACCCTCAAAGTTCAGGGTGATTTCAGAACAATACAATTCGCTGAAATATAAGCACAAAACACAAGTCAACAAGCCTGGAAAAAATCCAGAAGAGGAAAAAAAAAATCTCTTTAATTCAGTGTTTCAGTCTGGAAGGGAAAATGCTGATGATCTTGTTGGCACCGATAACCATTTACACTTGGCAGCGAGAGATCAGCTTTGCAACCTCTTTATAGTGAGCTCACATTTCTCCCACATTGGCTTCAGTATGTCTTTCAACAGCGTAGTGTCAGCTGTACAGCTTGCCTGGATATAAGTGTACAAATGATGCAAAAGTCTACAAACTCTACATATCGGGGTAAAAATGATGCAAAAGTCTACAAAACTCTACATATCGGGGTAAAAATGATGCAAAGGTCTACAGAGTCTTCGTATCTGGGAACAAATAATGCAAAGGTCTACAGACTATACATATCAGGGAACAAATGATGCAAAGGTCTACAGACTGTACATATCTGGGAGCAAATGATGCAAAGGTCTACATACTGTACATATCTGGGAGCAAATGATGCAAAGGTCTACAGACTCTACATATCTGGGAACAAATGATGCAAAGGTCTACAGACTCTACATATCTGGGAACAAATGATGCAAAGGTCTACAGACTCTACATATCTGGGAACAAATGATGCAAAGGTCTACAGACTCTACATATCTGGGAACAATGATGCAAAGGTCTACAGACTCTACATATCAGGGAACAAATGATGCAAAGGTCTACAGACTCTACATATCTGGGAAGAAATGATGCAAAGGTCTACAGACTCTACATATCTGGGAGCAAATGATGCAAAGGTCTACAGACTCTACATATCAGGGGAACAAATGATGCAAAGGTCTACAGACTCTACATATCTGGGAGCAAATGATGCAAAGGTCTACAGACTCTACATATCTGGGAACAAATGATGCAAAGATCTACAGACTCTACATATCAGGGAACAAATGATGCAAAGGTCTACAGACTCCACATATCTGGGAACAAATAATGCAAAGGTCTACAGACTCTACATATCAGAGTAAATGATGCAAAGGTCTACAGACTCTACATATAGGGGTAACAATTATGCAAAGGTCTACAGACTCTACATATCTGGCAACAAATGATGCAAAGCAGGGGTGGACTGACAACTCATGGGGCCCCCGGGTAATAGGGGATCATGGGGCCCCTGTGTCCTTGTCCAAACTCAAAAATGCCTATGAAAAAGGTACCAGGGGCACCTCATGGGGCCCCCTACTGACTCCGGGCCCACGGGCAGTGCCCGAGTTTCCAAATGGTCAGTCTGCCCCTGATGCAAAGGTCTACAGACTCCACATATTGGGGTAAAAATGATTCCAAGGTCTACAGACTCTACATATAGGGGTAAAAAATTATGCAAAGGTCTACAGACTCTACATATCGGGGTAAAAATGATGCAAAGGTCTACAGACTCTACATATAGGTGTACAAATGATGCAAAGGTCTACAGACTCCTACATATCGGGGTAAAAATGATGCAAAGGTCTACAGACTCTACATATAGGTGTACAAATGATGCAAAGGTCTACAGACTCTAGATATAGGTGTACAAATGATGCAAAGGTCTACAGACTCTAGATATAGGTGTACAAATGATGCAAAGGTCTACAGACTCTAGATATAGGTGTACAAATGATGCAAAGGTCTACAGACTCTACATATCGGGGTAAAAATTATGCAAAGGTCTACAGATTCTACATATAGGTGTACAAATGATGCAAAGGTCTACAGTCTCTACATATCGGAGTAAAAACTGATGCAAAGGTCTACAGACTCTAGATATAGGTGTACAAATGATGCAAAGGTCTACAGACTCTACATATAGGTGTACAAATGATGCAAAGGTGTACAGACTCTACATATCGGGTAAAAATGATGCAAAGATCTACAGACTCTACATATAGGTGTACAAATGATGCAGTACCAACTAGGTGTATCGGAGTAAAAATGATGCAAAGGTCTACAGACTCTACATATAGGTGTACAAATGATTGAAAGGTCTACAGACTCTACATATCGGGGTAAAAAATTATGCAAAGGTCTACAGACTCTACATATAATTATACAAATGATGCAAAGGTCTACAGACTCTGCATATAGGTGTACAAATGATGCAAAGGTCTACAGAACTCTACATATCAGGGTAAAAATGATGCAAAGGTCTACAGACTCTACATATAGGTATACAAATGATGCAAAGGTGTACAGACTCTACATATCAGAGTAAAAATGATGCAAAGGTCTACAGACTCTACATATAGGTGTAAAAATGATGCAAAGGTCAAGATCTATATATAGGTGTACAAATGATGCAGTGTAGGGCCAACTAGGTGTAAAGTACAAATAAAGGCAGAACTTTTTTTTCTAGTTTTGGATAGAGTGGGGATGGATTAGAACACCTGTCAGGTTTTTATTCCTGCCTGTGCCCCCGTTGAGGAGATTCACCCTCTCTGTTTGTCCTGTTTACTGTTATCATGGAAAGTGAAAGTAAAAGAAAATCTAACATTTTGGGTTGCCCTCAAAACAGTAATAGAGGGGGAATCTTACAATGAGGACACTAGTTCTGGTGACCTGGGGGTGCACAAGGAATTCCCTTAATTTTTAGGAATTTCCACTCACTTCCTGTTTGGCTATGGCACAAGAAGTGAAAAGAAATCTCCTCAGTGGGACACTTATGGCGAAAAAAATTACAGGGGTTATAACCCTCCCTTACTCTATCCAAAATTAAAAAAAAAAAACGTGGCCTTTAGTTCTACTTTAAGTCATTTTCAATGAGAACACCCATAATGTTTAAGAGCTATATTCCTTTAGTATCTCTATCAATTAGACATCACCATTTATTTAGTCATTTTGTCAATGTTCTTTCACATGGAGTTTGCTGATAGACAGAAGAATGTCACAGCAGCCATAATAACAGCTGCTTTGCTAGTGATAACATAGAAGTGCTAATCTGGTGAGAAGGTCAGTAATACAAAACACAATGAAACATCTGCAAGGAGGCAGTGAAATGTATGCTTAAAATAAACTGGCATTTCTTCATTCTTAAAGAGCGACTCCGGGCGACAAGTCGAACAGACATCTGCTATGGCAGTCCAGGAAACACTGCAAATATCAGGAAGAAAGAAAGTCTGCTCAGCTACATTTTGGCTTGGTGGAAGCTGTGGTTGCCATGTCTGAAAGTTTGGCAAGGCTGCTGGTGGGACTGCAATATAATAAGTGCAGGCAACCAGTTACTGTACGAGTTTAGGTGAATGGTTAGCCACAGATAGACTTAAGCTGGGTACACACTAGAAGTTTTTTTGATGTGCCACCCAGTGAGCTGAATGAAAAAAAATAAGAGAGATTGCCGTACTAACACAAGTTATGTTTAGTACAACGACCTCCCCTGTTGTGCCTTTATATTCTGACAGGGGGATCCCTGCCCTGCCCATCAGACACCCCCCCCCGCCCATACCCCCCCCCCCCCATAACCCCGCCAGCACACACTGATCAGTGCTTGCAGGCATTGGCTGCGAGCACTGATTGGATGCTGGTCAGATGCTGGTTTTCCAGCATGTCTGTTCGATAGAATTCGGCAACACTGGCCATTGTATTCTGCCAGCGGGGAAGGCTCCCCACCAGCAGAATACAATAGCTCAGCGGGAGTGATTACCCCATGTTCAACAAGCAAAAGCAAAATGAATCATCTATGGCCTGCCTTACTACTACTAGATATACCCTGACCTGGATAAATGAGAACCTTCAAAAACACAAATTGCAGTAAATTAAGTGAAATACCTTCCACGGTTTTATCCTGTGATAAATAAAGCTGAGGAGATACCTTCAGGGCCGTTTTTGGAAATGGATCAATGTGACCTAAGTGCCAGGCCACATCAGCGGGGAAATAACACAGTCACTGTTCAGTGTGCTTCAGATTGCTCTGCCATCAATGGAACGTTTCATGGAGAGCATCTATTCTATAGAGCCACCCGGCTTCCAGGACCCCAGCCATCAACAAAGTAAACCCGAGCAGCTTTCACAAGAACGGACGCTATGTTCTATCAAATTGGGCCACTTCAGCCAACAAAGCATCAAGTTCAACATTTCCTTCAATGCATTATGCTAATATATATCTCCAGTGATGGCTCCCAGCCTCTTACAGGAAGAAAGGAGCTCTCACGCAACTCCTATAAGGGATCTGCTATGTTAAACTTGCAAAACCAGAAATGTCTGTAAATACAGATTTAAAAATACACCTTTTTTATATCCAATCAAACTATATTTAGAAGTCTAAAAGTATACAAGCTGAAAACTAAAGCTGACTACAGGTAGCTCTCAAATTATATAGTTTGCGAATTCTAAAGGTGTTTGTACAGAGGTTGTACGATCAGATTGTTTTACACATACATATATATATATATATATATATATATATATATATATATAGACGTTCAAGTTTATCTACTTTTAGAAATTACTAGTTGAATTGGCACCCACACAGGTACAAGAAAATTTAGTTGGTCCTCTGTTGTGACAACATGACCTGGGCTATTGTGACAATCCTCTCTCAGGTTTTCTATTGCTATCCGAGACCCTGTTGGGAAGATTTCCCCTTACTTCCTGTCACCTTGACACACAATAACTTCCTAGGACATAGGGTGTCACTAGGATAGGAAGGGAGGGGGCATCTTCCTAATAGGTACAGGCATCAATAATGATCTGAAAGAAGGTTCTCACCATTCCTCATTCTAAAACTAGGCAAGCTGTGAATGGATTTGTTCTTCAATGATTCCATAGCTTATTTGAGTTCTGCCTGGCAGGGGAATGGACCTAATATTTTGCTGTTTCACTTTCACTTGCAGGTTTCTTCATCAACCTGTGAGTGGACAGTGAAAGAAGAAGCAGCACACTGATTAGCTCATTTCTCTCTCGCTTTGCTCTCTCCTATACTGAGCAAGCTCCTTGCACTGATTGTCTCCTTGTGCTGTTTTCCCCTCCCCCATCTTTTTCAGCTCTGCTCTACAGGAGCTGCAAGTGGCTGATACCAATTCACATCCAAAGTACATTTAGGGATGCATTGATGAACACATAGCAGCATAAAAGCTGAATTCCAAGAATTCAGCAACTTTACAAAAAGTGCAGTCACACTATGAGTTAAGCCCAGCCAGGTGGCTGCTACTTATTTATATCTGATGGGTTTACGGCTCTGCTGGAGGATATACACCAAACTTTAGAGACCGTGAGAGAAGCACAAAGACTGGCTATACCCACCCTTCCCCTACTATGCCCCCTTTGGGCATAGTAGCTGCACCGACTCTACACTTGAAAAAAATCGAGACTAGAGTGTCCAACATTGAAGCTCCAGAAGTTATCTTGATGGAGCACAATAAATCTGTCAGATCTAAATTAGAGAGATAAGTCCATGAGGAGGCAGGCACCTTGTTGGACTTAACTCATAGTGTGCCTACACTTCAGCTAAATTCCTGGAGTTCAGCTTCAGCAAGAAGTAGTTCCAGGCATCAGCATGCTATACATAGTTACATTGGTCCAGCTAGAAAAAGCTAAAGAAATTGAATCATATAATGCAGTAACGCAACATCCAACCCAACTATCAGTAAGCTGAAATCTGATTGGCTGCTATAGGATTCCAAATTTCACACACAAAAGTATTCTTGCACTGTCTTATTGAACAAGATAGCTTACAGAATATTATCTATTTTAGTATTTAAAACTAAAATAAAAACAGTTTTGGCAAGAGTTTGGCTTTAATATCTTATTTCATTGTTCTGAAGTACAGTATGTTCTTCCATAACTCAAAAATCCAAAACTTGACCGTATTGTCTGTCTCTGCAGAATAATTGAGAGTGCTCTCCAATACAGAACAAGCATCTTCTGTATGTAACACAAGGTATTAAATACTGACCAGATTTAGACTGCAGCTGCCAGGCCAACTGAAGAGATTTTACAAAAATAATAGCATTCACGTATCCGAATCACTCAGTGCTAAATTTGTTAGAACATTTGGACTTCACTGCCTTCTCCTCTATAAGAAAAACAGAAATCCTCGACACATGAGGAAAAGAAAACAAGTCGAGATTAAATGAGAGTAACAGCAAGCTCAGCACAAACCTCTCGCATCCTGTTCATGAACCGCTTGTCCCTCACAGCTGGAATGCTTTCTAAAAACTTGTGTTTTAATTATCTAACATCATAAATAAAAATATATTACTGACTGAGATTGGAAAGGGAAGAATTCAGATCTGACTTTTTCATTTAGCTCAGTCCTGCACTGT